CGGTGTACGCGCGCGTGTACGCGCCGCTGCTCGCCAGAGGGTTGCCCCAGACGCTCTTTCTCTTTCCCTCTGCGCATTTTCCGCTCGCGGTCGACGATCAATACAAGGGGCTGCCTCCTTCTTCCACGTTCGCTTCGGGACGTCGAACAAACGCGTGTTACGTAGCCTCGTACCAGGAGTCGGGATCGAAATCGATCGATCGGGGGGGTTGCGATCCAGCTCGATCGACGCTCGCGACGAGCCGATCGACCGGATAATGAGGAACGTTATCTAGGTAGCCGGCATCGATTTTCTTCATAGACCCTGTTGTAATAGAGCTTTGAAGTTTCAAAGGTACGTGTTCCTTTATTTCTGGACGGTTTTGAAGGTAAGGGCCGAACGGGGGTGGGGGTTCAATGGGTTTTTTCTAAACGGCTTTGTCTTCGTGTATTTTCGGTATACTGTAACTTATATTGTTCGGGTATTATCTTTGGAAGTTCGAGGCGGTAGGCTGTCGTTGCTGCGTGGAATTTGCCTTTGCGAATTTTTATATACTTTCTGTACACATTTTGTTATTTTTAATGTATTGTTTTAATGAAATTCTGTGGAGAGAATGCTTTTGAGAATGGAAGAGAATAGGAAGGAAAATCTGGACATTCGAGTTTATCTTTTGTTTCCTATCCGGGTTGATTATGAATTGTGAACGCTCGTAAATAAGATGTAGGGTGAAGAGGGGTATAGTTGGTGGAATGGGGTGTTTATTTTATATGAAATCTAGTTTTCATCGTTAGAGTAGTTTTTAGTTTGGAAATTTGGGAATTGAGTTTGTGATAAAGAAAAATTGATAAATTGGTGATATGAGATTTTGGGGATGTTTGGATGTGTGAGATTCTGGTGATTTTGAAATTTGAAAATTGAGTAATTGGATGTTGAAACATTGAATAATTGAATAATAGAATAATTAAGTAATTGTATAATTCAATAATTGAATGATTGAATAATTGAATAATTGAATAATTGTATAATTGAATAATCGAATAATTGAAGAATGGAAAAATTGACAGATTGACAAATTGACAAACTGACAAATTGACAAATTGACAAATTGACAAATTGACAAACTGACAAATTCACAAACTGACAAACTGACAAACTGATAAATTTAAAATTGAATAGTTGAAAAATTGACAAATTAGAGAATTGAGAAATTGAAAGACTTAATAATTTAAAATTGAATAGTTGAACAATTGACAAATTAGACAATTGAGAAATCGAAAAACTTAATAATTGAAAATTGAAGAATTGGAAAATTGAAGAATTGAAAAATTGAAAAATTGAAAAATTGAAGAATTGAAAAATTGAAAAATTGAAAAATTGAAAAATTGAAAAATGAAAAAAATGGAAAAATTGAGTAATTGAATAATTGAAAAATTGAAAAATTGAATAATTGAATAATTGAAAAACTAAAACGTCAGAAAATTGAAGAATTGAAAATCTCCCACGATATACAAACATACTAAATCCGTCACATCCTCTCCATCTCAGTTACCCATAACTGCTCAATAATAGTAAAATTCAGTAAGCCAAGCGATCCCCATTCTTTTTCCCCGAATAATCCGTCTTTAGAACGAAGAATCCTTGCATCGTATTGTCGAAGGGGATTCATACGCGTTTCCATTAGATCCAGAAGACTGCTTGTGACGTTCTTGGTTTCATTGGCCGACAATGGCTCGTCTTTATGCTCGATTGATTTCAAGGATCCCTTCGCGAACGATCGACCTTCCCCTTCTGTTTGAAGGATGGCAAATGGAATTGGCAGAAGCTGATCGTGTTTTAGCTAATTACGTTCTAGCCTTTTGTTATCACCCTGAGTAATCGGGTAATTGATGTCGACGGTTCTTCAACCTTGTGGATCTTTAATTTCAAACAAGATGGATGTCTATTGATTCTCTTACAACGTTTTCCTTTAATGATACATCGATCATTACGATGTCTTTAAAACGTAACTCACGGTCTATACGTGTCGTTTGATCGATTGCTTTCTTTGGAGAAAATGGAGGTGGACTTGGACCTTTAGGAACTTTGATTGAAATATTTTTAAGGGAAATGTTTGGTGGGGGGATATTTTGGAATTTGTGAGATTTGGTATGGATATAAGCTATGGATTTGGGAGGGTGGCAATTTGTTGAAAATTTGTTGGAAATTTGAGGGTTTGGGTGTTTGAGGAGGTGGTAATTTTGGGAATTGGGTGTTGAGAAATTTAGGGAAATTTGAGGGAGTTTAAAGAAATTTAGGAAGAGTAAAGGGAATTTGAAAATTTGGAATTTGGGAAATTTGGAATTTGGGAAATTTGGAATTTGGGAAATTTGGAATTTGGGAAATTTGGAATTTGGGAAATTTGGAATTTGGGAAATTTGGAATTTGGGAAATTTGGAATTTGGGAAATTTGGAATTTGGGAAATTTGGAATTTGGGAAATTTGGAATTTGGGAAATTTGGAATTTGGGAAATTTGGAATTTGGGGAATTTGGAATTTGGGAAATTTGGAATTTGGGGAATATGGAATTTGAGAAATTTGGAATTTGGGAAATGTGGAATTTGGGGAATCTGGAATTTGGGGAATCTGGAATTTGGGGAATTTGGAATTTGGGAAATTTAGAATTTGGGAAATTTATAAAATTTGGAATTAGAGATTTTGGGGTTTGAGAATTTGGGAATGTAGATATTTTAAGGTTTGAGTATCTGGGAATAAAATTTCAGAACTTCCAAATTAAAAGATTATAAATTGCAAGAGGCTATAATTACAAAAACAGTTAATTTAAAAAATTGAAGCTACATATTGGTTAATCGAACAGTGATCGCAAAGGAAGTGGATGGCGCGTCAAAAATGGAGTACCATTCGTCCGTGTCGCGCGAACGCTTTGAAAGGAAACGAAGGTTTGCTTTTATTCGAGTTCCAAGTGAAAATCGATACCTCTTTCCAGCGGGCCTCTACATTGTAATTTCGCTCCGGAGGCGAAAGATTTCCTCGTTCATGAATATTTAACGCGCTCTGTAACGCAATCAGGGTCGAATTTTTTTTTCTCTTCTCTCCCGTACCTGTCACACTCTTGTCCTTCGGCCGAGAGGATACACGAACAGAAGTAGAAGAGTTAAGACTGCTCACGCTCGAGCGAATCATGAAGTGGTCTTAACTTCGATCGAGTTTCTCGGGATGCTCGAGAAATATCCGTAATTGCTCCTCGTTCCTTCTTCATTATCCTCGTCCCTTTTAAAAGAACACCGCCTCACGAGAGTACCTGTCTGACATCCTCTGACGTTATTTAATGTCATTGTATCGCCACAATCGAATTCAGGTGTTAGGTAGTAATTTTTATTTGAGGACTTTTCATTTTCACTTGGGAAAATTTTTATATGTACGTTTGAAGTTATAGGTAATTATTTTTTATATATTTTATACTGTTATTTGTACTTTTTTTTTATTATTACTGGTGACATTTTTCTTTTATACCATGGCTAGGAAAATTTTTATTCTGTACTGTTAGTAAAATTTTTATTTCATACTGTTGCTGGCAAAATTTTTCTATTATACCATGGCTGGGAAAATTTTTATTTCATACTGTTGCTGGTAAAATTTCTTTTTTATACCATTGTTGGGAAAATTTTTATTTTGTACTGTTAGTAAAATTTTTATTTTATACTGTTGCTGGTAAAATTTCTCTTTTATACAACTGTTGGGAAAATTTTTATTTTGTACTGTTATTAGTCAAATTTTTATTTTATACTGTTGCTAACAAAATTTTTATTTCATACTGTTGTTAGTGAAATTTTTATACTGTTGCTAGTAAAATTTTTATTTTATAAAATTATTGGTAAAGTTTCACTTTATGCAATTATTGATAAAATTTTCATTTTATACAATTATGGTAAAATTTTTATTTTATAAAATTATTGGTAAAATTTCATTTTATACAATCATTGGTAAAATTTTTATTTTATAAAATTATTGGTAAAATTTCATTTTATGCAATCATTGGTAAAATCTTTATTTTATACAGTTACTTATATTCTTTGTATCAAAGTGACATCTAAAATCATATATCCCAAAATTATTATTATCCACACATATTAGTATATGAATGAAATTAGTATCTCTAATAAAGTGTGCTCAATATCGATATCGCTTTGTAACAAGGGAATCCTGCTCCCATCGCAAGAACTCAATAGAACCGGCTTCCGTTATGGAATTTCGAGTTCCTGTCATAGTGCAAGAACAGCCATTACGTTTTCCAAGCGTGTATTGACCCCGTATTTACGTCCAAACGCGGGGAGAATGTCCTCTGCAAAGGGTTGGAATTGCGTTATGTTCCTATTGTTCCGTTTAGGCAGGATATTCACTCGCTTTAACCCGCGTTCTCATTTACAAAAACTTTGTCCGAATTGATATGAGAATCCTTTGGTTACAGTGAAATACATCTCTACATTCTATTTCTTCATTTTTTTTAATTTCTATAAAATCTTGTGTTACAAAAATGATTTTCATATTAGTGTAAAGGTAAATGTGTGGATGTGAGATTTTCACTTCGTTGTGGGATTTTTTTATTTTGAAAGAATGCATTTTTAACTTGTATAGATAAGTAATAATTAATAGAAAAGTATATATGTTTTACTTTTAGAATATTACATTGAATTACATATAGTATTATAGTGAGTTTAGTATTGCACTAAATTATACTGAACTACAATGTAGTGTTATAGGGAATTATATCTAGCTGCAGTGAATTATATTGAGTATTACACTGAATTATATATAATATTATAGTAAATTATGTCTAGTGTTACACTAAATTATATCTAATATATTAACTCTATAAAATGAATATAAAAATGTACAGAAAAGTAACTAAAAGTAAGTTTGGATGTGAATGGGTTAACAATGTGAAGTTGAGTTTTAGACGACGAATCGGGTGGTTTCTGGCATTTTCCATAGCGGTGAATCGATTTCTTCGGTGTATCGGTGCATGATAGCACGTTGCTTTGCAAAACAAGATGTTTCAGTCGGTTGGTTGCAGCTGAACATATAGAAGATAAGAACGGGGTAGGAGTTTCGGGAGAGTTTCGAATATATCTCTGCACAGCGAGTGCACTTTGCAGTAAGACTTGGTTTCAATACCTCGATACCATTCTGATTGACTCTGACGCGGTGTTTCAGTGCGATATTCTGATTGACTTCTCGATATTAGCTTGACAAGAATTGTTATACTGTTCTATTACTATTACTATTACTCTATTACTCTATTACTCTATTACTCTATTACTCTATTACTCTATTACTCTATTACTCTATTACTCTATTACTCTATTACTCTGTTACTCTATTACTCTGTTACTCTATTACTCTGTTACTCTATTACTCTGTTACTCTATTACTCTGTTACTCTATTACTCTGTTACTCTATTACTCTATTACTCTATTACTCTATTACTCTATTACTCTGTTACTCTATTACTTTGTTATTCTATTACTTTGTTATTCTATTACTCTATTACTCTATTACTCTATTACTCTGTTACACTGTTACTCTATTGCTCTATTACTCTATTACTCTATTACTTTGTTACTCTATTACTCTGTTACTCTATTACTCTGTTACTCTATTACTCTATTATACTATTACACTATTACTCTGTTATACTATTACACTATTACTCTGTTACTCTGCTACTCTATTACTTTGTTACTCTATTACTTTCTTACTCTATTACTCTGTTACTCTATTACTCTATTACTCTATTACTCTACTACTCTATTACTCTGTTACTCTGTTATTCTGTTACTCTATTACTTTATCACTATTACTGTGTTACTCTATTACTCTATTACTCTGTTACTCAATCACTCTATCACTCTATTACTCTATCACCATTACTCTATTACTATTACTATCCTACAAATTCTACAAATTCTACAAAATTCGTGTTACTGATTCTGAGAACGATTTTCGAAGTAGAATTGAATTTCCGTCCTTTCTTTATTCCTAAAAATTCTTTATTTCTTAAATTCTAGAATCCATCAGTCTCTATTCTGTACATTTATGTCAAATACTTTTGACACTTTATTACATCAAATACTTAAAATTCATTGAAATAGAAATTCAAAGATGAAACCCAAATTTAGAAGATGAGATATAAATTTATTTTTACAGAACTCACTAAGAGATTTAAGTCGATCTTCAAAATTCTGTACTTGTACTTTCAACGTTTAAAATATATTTCAAGTTCAAATTGTTCACGAAAGTCGATACCGTGTTTCATACTTTAAGTGTATACCTTAATTATATACGTCAATTGTCAACTTGTTATGCTAACAACTTTGAAACTTCGAGTGACCCAAAATTGTGCAATTAACCAGAAAGGACTTCTGCCTGTTCCACTATTTGGAATCATAAACTATCCGTTTATGTAAACGAGCCACTTCACCCTAGCAAAGAAAATTCTAGTCTTGGGGGTGATTAAAGGAAGCGTCTTGCCAAGATTTAATTAAGGTTCGATGAGCCAATTAGCTCGGCTTATCGATTCACCTCTTTCCCACGCTTTACCCTCCACAGTTGAAATGTCCTATCTTTCTTTTATTCTTTGAAATCTTCTAAAATATATTATTATATTTCAAACAAGATGCTCTGAATGTTTTATGAAGACTTTAACAGTTGAACCCTTTTGCATAATTTTACAATTCTTGCATTTAGAAGAAACAGCAGATATTTTTTCTTTTGAAAGTTCGATGACTTTTAGAGTGAAAATAATTTAGAAGTATTTGAGGGATGAAACATAAACGAAATTATATAAAGTTATTTGAAGCATCTGAAGCATCTATTGGAAGCTTCAAAATAATTTCTATAATTTAAAACAAGAAATCTTAACGAGACTTTAATAAAATTTTTAATTTTATACTAACACTTTAAATTTCAGACTGAAAAAATGTTTGCAGTTCATAACATAACATACCGAACGAATGAACGTTATAATATTAATCTAACAATAACTATTAATAATAAATTTTGCCCCAAAAAAATTATTGCAGTACATCAACATAAAATAACAAATGAATATTCACTGTCTCAAATGAATAATCACATTTTAAACAAAATCAATGTTCACAAGAGGGTAATTTATTCAAATAAATTTTTCGAATGATTTTGATGAACATTAGACTCTTCATCACTATCGATGATGAATATTAGACAAAATAAAGGAGTCACAGAGTATAAAATTTGGTAAAAATTGGTAAAAGAGGAAATTAAACGAGGACGCAGAAAAGAGTTGTCGAGGGTGAATGTGGGTTGTGAATTCGTGGTCAATGGCGAAGGGAGGGTCAGGAAACTAGAAAGGGGAAACTGCGTTTCAGGGAATATTAGTAACCTTGTAACCCTGCTTACGACCACGATTTTCTGCGCAGGTAGAAGAGGGTTTATTGTTCCAAGGGTAACCGGCGACGAACGGGAAAATGGAAGGCAGTGGGACTGGAATTAGCAGGCTCGACTGCTATGAAGATATGTTCAAGGAAATCACCAGAAAGCTGTACGGTGAAGATCCTGATCATAGAAGTAAGTCGAAATTTAATATTACATATTTATTTATTAATAAATGTTTCTCAAAAAATTTCAGTAATGAATGTTCCTCAAAAATTGCATTAATAAATGTCTGCAAAAAATTCCTATAATAAATGTTTTCAAAAAGTAGCATCAATAAATGTTTCTCAAAAAATTTTAGTAATGAATGTTTCTCAAAAATTGCATTAATAAATGTCTGCAAAAAATTCCAATAATAAATGTTTTCAAAAAATAGCATTAATAAATGTTTCTTAAGAATTGCATTAATAAGGACTTCCAAAAATTTGCATTAATAAATATTTCCAATAAAATTGCATTAATAAATATTTCCAAAAAATAGTACAAACATTGCCAAATATTTTTTCTTCAAATAATATCAAAATACTTATTTCACTGATTAAATGTCTTAAAAAATTGCATTAATAAATATTTCCAAAAAATTGTACAAATATTATCAAATATTTATTCTTCAAATAATATCAAAATACTTATTTCACTAAATAAATAAAAATTGCATTAATAAATATTTCCAAAAAATTGTACAAATGTCAAATATTTATTCTTCAAAATAAAAATAATTTTCATTGAATAAATATCTTGAAAGAAAAGTAGAGTTAATGTCCGTAAAAAATAGTGGTAATAAGTATTTCAATAATCCATGAATAATTTACTTCATATCTCGGCGGGGTGATGAATAGAATTACCTCGCGAGGGACGTTAATGAATTTCCCTCGTTCCGAGCAAGTGTCCCATTATTTTTCTAATTAGAAACGTTAAGTAAATTACTTTTGGTGTCGCTCGTAGCGTCGAGCGTGCAAAACGAATTTGAGACGTCCGTTTCGTACAAGAACGACGAGGACACCGGAAACGGAACCGACGGCAGCGACGATGGAAACTGGACTTGCGAGGAGGAGCCCCTCAAAGGCACCGACGGCAGTCGAATTGCGGCTTATCACGCTGGAAAGGCTACCTGGAGGTGCTACGAGTGCGGTTAGTATACAAACTTATTAACTCAACAAATTTACTTTCACATTATTTTACATTATTATTTTCTATTTTTTCAACTCGAAAATCGTTCAATTGTGTAGACTGAATTATGATAATTTTGTCGTTGAGTTTTGAAGAATTTTTTGAATTACATATTTGATGATACGATATATGGAAATCTTAAGGGGTGGTAATATAACGTGAGGTGATATAACGCGAGGCAATTTCAACGCGTCGCGATATAACGCATTGTGATCTTAACGCATGGTGACATAACGCGTTGTAATTTTGACGCGTGGCGATATACCGCGTTGTAATCTTGACGCGTGGCGATATGACGCGTTGTAATTTTGATGCATGGTGACACAACGCGTTGTAATTTCGACGCGTGGCGATATAACGCGTTGTAATTTCGACGCGTGGTGATTTAACGCGTTGAAATTTTGACGCGTGGCGATATGACGCGTTGTAATTTCGACGCGTGACGATATAACGCGTTGTAATTTTGACGCGTGGCTATATAAAGCGTTGTAATTTTGACGCGTGACGATATAACGCGTTGTAATTTTGACGCGTGGCGATATAACGCGTTGTAATCTTGACGCGTGGCGATACAACGCGTTGTAATTTCGACGCGTGGCGATATAACGCGTTGTAATCTTGACGCGTGGCGATACAACGCGTTGTAATTTCGACGCGTGGCGATATAACGCGTTGTAATCTTGACGCGTGGCGATACAACGCGTTGTAATTTCGACGCGTGGCGATATAACGCGTTGTAATCTTGACGCGTGGCGATACAACGCGTTGTAATTTCGACGCGTGGCGATATAACGCGTTGTAATCTTGACGCGTGGCGATACAACGCGTTGTAATTTCGACGCGTGGCGATATAACGCGTTGTAATCTTGACGCGTGGCGATACAACGCGTTGTAATTTCGACGCGTGGCGATATAACGCGTTGTAATCTTGACGCGTGGCGATACAACGCGTTGTAATTTTGATGCATGGTGACATAACGCGTTGTAATTTCGACGCGTGGCGATATAACGCGTTGTAATCTTGACGCGTGGCGATACAACGCGTTGTAATTTTGATGCATGGTGACATAACGCGTTGTAATTTCGACGCGTGGCGATATAACGCGTTGTAATCTTGATGCGTGGCGATACAACGCGTTGTAATTTTGATGCATGGTGACATAACGCGTTGTAATTTTGACGCGTGGCGATATAACGCGTTGTAATCTTGATGCGTGGCGATACAACGCGTTGTAATTTTGATGCATGGTGACATAACGCGTTGTAATTTCGACGCGTGGCGATATGACGCGTTGTAATTTCGACGCGTGGCGATATGACGCGTTGTAATTTTGACGCGTGGTGATATAACGCGTTGTAATTTTGACGCGTGGCGATATAACGCGTGGCGATATAACGCGTTGTAATTTTGACGCATGGCGATATAACGCGTTGTAACCTTGACGCGTGGCGATATAACGCGAGGCAATATAACACGAGGAAGTCTCAACAATTTAGATTACAAAACTATTCAAGCTTGAAGACACAATAAATTAGAAACTCCACGAATTATAACAAATTTGAAATTAGTACAATACAAAAATATTTCATAGTCATTTGTAAATTCTATCATTTACATCTTGCGATAGCAGCTTGTGATAGCTCTATTATCTCTTCGATCTTCTGTCGAACATGTTAAAATTGAATTTATGTTACTCGTCAAATGAGAAAGTGGTTTGTTTAGACACACACGCGAATTTTTAGTTAGTACCATTTACCCATGTTTTCGTGAGTCACAGCTCCGTACACGATACAAGCATGAATAGGCAATGCATTATCGAAATAACGGGTCAACGAGCACGAAAGACCCCAACTTCGACACGGAATCGAAGAGGTAAACAATACGAGATGCAGCCTGCTAAGCTATTCGCTGCTTATTCGAACAAAAGGGACTTTTATTGTTGCCTCACGCGGGTTGTTTCCTCGGTAATTTCAAACCTTCCGTGTCATCGAGCCAGTGTTTAAGGATTCCGTTTATGGCGAATGGAAACTATCGCACAAAATAATTCTGTGAATCACAGGGGGCTAAGTACCCTCGGAATTACCCTTAGTCTTTGTTCGTATTAAATTGACAACTATTATTGCTATGTTCTTTTGTATGCATTATAGAGGTATACTCTCTTTGTAACATTATTTAGGACAAATCGAAACATAACAGTTATTGGTCGATGAAAGTATCAATATTTTTAAAAATTCTTTTATAAACTTACAGTGTTGTATAGTAGAGTAATTATTATTCAAAATGTTCGACATCATAGTTTCTTGTCTTTTCCAATAATAATTTTTTATTTTACACCCACACTTTGCAGTATCACTTTTCTGTAAACGAATTTATTCTACAGTCATTTATACTATTTATACATATATTACTAAAAATGAAGAACAGCATCGTTTCCTGACTAATCAACCACAACTTTTAATTTTTCATTGATTTTTCATTAACAAATTCGCAATATTTTTTTTAGACGAATTTCTAATATTTGCTCTTATTTTCATTTCTTCAGATTCTTTTTCATTTTCATTTCTTCTTCAAATTTCTTCGAATTCTTCATATTTTATATTACTTGATATGTTTTATATTTAAGTTACATTTATTGTTATTAAACTTGTATTATATTGTATATACTGCATATTGAAATTGTTCAATTATTTAAAAATGAAAGCGAAGGATTACAACATGATTTATAAATTGTATTGATCAACAGGGGACGTGATGGGCGGCGGACCACGGGACATAGCCGAGCATTTCATGGAACTCCATTCCTCGAGGATCTTGGCAGACGACAGTAGGAACAGGCACCATTCACCTCGGAAGGATTACCTGCAGTCGGAGCTGAAAATCGAGGACGTGATTTCGTACCTGGAGAGGCTACGCGAACGCGCTGAGCGTGTAGCGCCACCGTCTAGACGGACTCAGGAAACGCAAACTGTACCTGCTGCTTTGTTGCCGGTCACCTCGACATTTTTGCTGCAGGAGTTACCTTCTGCTCCTGCTCCGCAACATTTGCATCAGGTACAAGTTCTCTGTAACGCGGAGTTACTGAAAAAGAGATTTGATGACATGTGAAAGGAATTATGGATGCATTGGAATAGGAGGGGAAGGTTCTTTATTTTGGGAATTTTGGAATTTGATGAATTTTTGGAATTTTTGGAATTTTTGGAATTTTTGGAATTCTTGGAATTTTTGGAATTTTTGGAGTTTTAGAAGACTGAAAGTTTATAATTTAGGGAATTTTTGAATGTTGGTAATTTGGAAATTTGGAATTCTGGAATAGAGGACTTTTGGTTATTTTAGAATTTTAGAATTTTAGAAGTTTGGAAGATAGGAATTTCAGAAATTTGAGGAATGTTGGAATTTTAATATTTGTAGTATTAGATTTTTGGAATTTTGGAGATTTGGAATTTTGGAATTTTGAAAATTTGGAGATTTGGAGATTTGGAAATTTAGAAATTTAGAAATTTGGAATTTTGGAAATTTGGAAACCTTGAATATTTGAATACTTGAATTTTGGAATTTATAGTATGGGGAATTTAGATTAACTGTTGTAGATCTAGGAAATTTAGGGGCTTGAGATCTGGGGAATTTATGAACTTGAGATCTAGGGAATTTATGAACTTGAGATCTAGGGAATTTAGGGGCTTAAGATCTGGGGAATTAATGGACTTGAGATGTAGGGCATTTATAAACTTGAGATCTAGGGAATTTAGGGACTTGAGATCTGGGGAATTAGTGGACTTGAGATCTGGGGAATTAGTGGACTTGAGATCTAAGGAATATGGGAACTTAAGGTCTAAGGAATTAATGGACTTGAGATCTAGGAAATTTGGGGACTTAGGGAATATGGGAACTTGAGGTCTAAGGAATTAATGAACTTGAGATCTAGGGAATTTAGGGAATTGAGAAATGTAGTATATAGAAAATTTTAAGGAATTTTAAGAAATGTAAGGAATATAGAGATTTGGGTATTTCAGATCTGGAACATTGAGGTACTTTGATATTTAGGAACTAAGGAATTGTGTTATTTAGTATCTAGTGAATTTGATGATATGTTTGGGTTATAGAAAATTTAGGGATGAAGGTATCTGATTTATTGCAAATTTAGAGACCAGGTTATCTGAATTACAAGAAATTAAGAGATGTGGAGATATGGGTTGTGAAGTGGCTATCTGAATAATTGAAAACATAGTGATATGAATGCAAGGTTATGAAAAATTCTAAGATGTGGATCTGGGTGGATCTGGGTTATAGTCAATTCAGCAGTATGCATATCTAGATTATAATATACTTTCATGAACTTGTACATACAAAAATTAGGAAATTTCGGAACTAGTTACTTTGAGAATCCACAAAAACTTCAAAACTGAGGATCACACTGCGCAACACACATCGTTCACAAATGAACCTTATTTACCACCCTACATATCTCCAGCCATTATATCGCCAACGACATTCTGTTCCAAACTACCATCACTCTTTAACAACATCACTCTTTAACAACCCTAGTAACGAATCTTTTCATTCGACAGAATACAACGACGATACCAACATCCGCCACGGTCTCCGCCAGCGGCAAGCGCTACACCTGTCCGTATTGTCCTTACGGAACCGATCGTCGCGACCTGTACACGCGACACGAGAACATCCACCGCGAAGAAAAGCCGTTCCACTGTTACATCTGTTACAAACCGTTCAATCGCGCCGATCACGTGAAGAAGCACTTCCTTCGGATGCACCGGGAACACGGTTACGAGTTGTCCAGGATACGCAGACCGGCAGGATCTGGAGCGCCGAAGCCTCTCCAGCAAGATTCCGCAGCCGCCAGCACCGGAAACGCGAATGCCAACGGTCAGCAACAGCAGCAGCAGCAACAGCAACAGCAACAACACGCCAGTTACACGTCCGGATTCAACAATAATAAGAATTACCAGCTGCAGCCGAATCCTGGGAATAATGCGACTGCGAATACTGGGGGGATTTATCAGGGCACGTCGATGCCCGCGCCGGGCATCATGCAACCGGATGCGGGAAATTGTAATACTGGAAGAAGGGTGCAAAACGGGGGATGTAACAGTAAGAGTCATCTGAAGGGAGGATCTAAAGGGGCTCAGGAACGGAGGTGAGGTTTGCGATGGAAATGTTTGGACTGATTTGTGAGAGTGGTTTGGGAGATAGTGAGAAGATTGTTGTTTTGGTGGGGATTTTGTTTTTGAGGGTGGTATTTTAGGAATTTGGGAATTTGGGAAATTAGGGGAAATGATGAGAAAAGTAGAGAGTTTAAGATTGGGTGAAATAGGAAAGATAAGTAGGGAATTTGGTAATTAATTGGTGACTATGGAAATTGGTAACTAGGGAATTTACCAACTAGGGAATTCGCCAACTAGGGTATTTGACAGTTAAGTAAATTAGTAACTAGAAAATTAGCAATTAGAGATGTTAGTGATTAGGAAATTTAGTAACTAGGGAATTTGGCAATTAGGGAAATTGGTGACTGAGCAAAATGGTAACTAGGAAATTTTCCAATTAGTGAATTTGGTAATTAGGGAAATTGGTAACTGAGAAAAATGATAACTAGGGAATTTGGTAACTAAGAAATTTTCCAGCTGGGGTATTTGACAATTAGGTGAATTAATAATTATAGAAAATTTCCAATTAGAGAAATTAATAATTAGGAAATTTAGTGACTAGGGAATTTGGCAATTAGGGAAGTTGGTGACTGAGCAAAATGGTAACTAGGAAATATAGTAACTAAGTAAATTGGTAACTAGGATCTTTGACAGTTGGGAAAATTAGTAATTAGGAAATTTAGTAACTAGGGAATTTGACAATTAGGGAAATTGGTAATTGAGCAAAATGGAAACTAGGGAATTTAGTAACTAGGAAATTTAGTAGTTAGAAAAATTGGTAACTATGAAAATTGATATCTAGAAAATTTGGTAATTAGGAAATGTGGAGACTTGTAAATTTGGAAATTTTGCAATTTTTAATCAGGAAATTCTCGGAACTAGAAATTTATGAATCTAGAAATTTGAGTATTCAGCAGTTCGCACAATTAAAGCACTTAAAAATTTCGTAATTCACAAATACCAAGATGAAAAATTGCAAAATCCAAAATTGTATATCCTTATATCCCTTGTCTTTAATCTCCTCAACTTAATACTCCACTCTCAGTTCATAAAACATCAACATAAATCATGCAATTAACCAACACGCATAACATTTTAGGTACACTTGTTGCTATTGTTCCTGGAGCGGTGTAGACAACTGGTGCCTGAAACGACACTTGAACACGCACCTTAAACCCTTCGCCTGCACGCTCTGCGAGTACAAAGCAGCCCGCGCCGAGCGTCTCGCGACTCACGTGCTGAAGGTCCACAACAGACGACAGTGTTCGAGGTGCTCTTTCCTCGGTGAAGACGCGGCGCAGCTGCAGATGCATCAGCTGCATGTGCATCGTGTGAGCAGTGCCAATGCACCTGCGACCTCTACCGCTCAGGCTGCACCGCCGCCTAATAATCGTCATCAGCAACCGTTGCAGTAAGGATGCGTTCTTATTTCACTTTTTTACGTATTTAATGCATTATGAAGCTTATTAGATTTTTGTTATAACGCTGGCTTTTTACAAGGTTCTAATCAATACCAATGGGAGATTGATATGGAAAGGAGTTGCAATAGATATATAATATATAGCATAGTGGACTCTTGTTATATTGCAAAAAATATAATTAAAGTTTATTGCATGTCTTTAGTGGGTTAACGTGCCGTGAAACTATGAGAAACGATACAATGCAAAGCAATCGAGTATAATCGGTTATACAGCATATGGCGATATAACGCGAGGTTATCTAATTTGTGGAAATTTTAGTGCGTGTTGATTTTGACGCGTGGAAACATTAATGCGTTGTGATACGGTATATGGAAATCTTAACGCGTGGCGATATAACACGAGGCAATATAACGCGAGGAAATCTTAACACGTCGCAATATAACGCGTTGTGATCTTAACGCGTGGCGATGATTTTGACGCGTGGAAACATTAATGCGTTGTGATACGGTATATGGAAATCTTAACGCGTGGCGATATAACACGAGGCAATATAACGCGAGGAAATCTTAACACGTCGCAATATAACGCGTTGTGATCTTAACGCGTGGCGATATAACGCGTTGTAGTTTTGACGCGTAGCGATATAACGCGAGGCGATATAGCGCGAGGAAATCTTCACACGTTGCGATATAACACGAGGAAATCTTAATACGTTAGGATGGAACGCGTTGTGATTTTAACGCGTGGCGACATAACGCGTTGTAGTTTTGACGCGTAGCGATATAACGCGAGGCGATATAGCGCGAGGAAATCTTCACACGTTGCGATATAACACGAGGAAATCTTAATACGTTAGGATGGAACGCGTTGTGATTTTAACGGGTGGCGACATAACGCGTTGTAATTTTGACGCGTGGCGATATAACGTGTGGCAATATAACGCGAGGCGATATAGCGCGAGGCAATCTTAACACGTCGCGTTATAACGCGTTGTGTTCTTAACGTATAACGATATAACGCGTTGTGATTTTAATGCGTGGCGATATAACGTGTTGTGATCTTAACACGTGGCGATATAACGCGTTGTGATCTTAACGCGTGGCGATATAACGCGAAACTATATACAACATGTGTGATACAACATGTGGTGATCTTAATGTGTGATAATATAACTTGCAGAGATTTCAACGCGTGGCAATATAAAATACGGCGATATAACACGTGGTAATCTATTTTATGTCATTTTAAAGCTTCACGCAATTCTGCTTAAATCATGCAACTGCAAACATACAATTTCACATACATAATATTTTATCTGCTAGAATCACGCAAAAATTAATTAATTAATATATCTATCCCCAGGTTCGAAAAGTTCGTTAAAACCGCTCGTTTCTCACGCAATCCGCAACCAATCCGCAAGGTTTAATCTGTCTAAAAACGCGTCGAGAACGGGATTCGGGGCTTTCGAAGTTCCCGCAGCTTTTCATGCATTTATTGCCGGCCGAGTGTTAATTGGATCGAACGACGAGTGTTTGGTTTAACAGCCGCGCGGATTTGATCGTTTCCGGAGAACGCGACCGGGAAATTCATTAAAACGATTTCATCGAAAGCCGATCGCCACGCGACTAATCCACCGCTGTTATTTTTCCCCCGTTTCCGTTCCGCGTTCGAACAAATGTAACGAGCACGAGCGAATTCTAAACTTCAATCGCGTGTTTCTCTAGCTCGTTAGCCATCTTTAAACAGAATTACCGCCCGGTCTCGCGTGGATTTACCGACCGAGCGCCGGTTCGTTGATTTTGCGGCGATCAAAAACACTGCATGGCGGGATTAAACTACATTCGATTTCGAACAGCCATTTTGAAACGCGCGATTAATTATAATTCCCTCGTTCGACGCGTTTGTTTCGCTCTTGCTTTTGATTATCGCTTACAAAGTGTTCACATATGTGTTTACATGATGTTGATATATGTATACACATATTGTATGTAGTCTAAAAATGTAACATTTAAATTTGCTACACATCACTTAAACCATCAAGTAAACCATCGATTTGGATTAAAATTATGAAAACGTTAAAAATCGAAGATCTTCAAAACTGATCAGAGATTACGTCTAAAAAATATTATAACAACGTTCAAAAAAAAATTGCATATATGATGGACTCAAAGGTGTTCTTAAAGATACAACAAATAACATCGAAGAACGCAGGCTATGAATAATTTTGCAGTTCGTTGCAGCAGTATAATAAGATTCAGAAACAAAGTACAGAAAACGACCATCAAGGGTGCAGAATATAGAAAAAATTCAGGTCTCCAGAGAAATTTTCGAAAATTTCACCGTGAACGACGAGCGAAATTGTGGATCACAATAGTGTCGTACTTCATCGATAATTCGCGAGCGACCTTATTTATCGTTAATTATCAAATTTACAGTCCCGCGGGAGGAGGACGACCGCCACCTGGTCCGCCAGTTTTTCCAGCACCGGCTCCAGCCATCGCACCTGCTACCACCGTCATACCGCCAACAACGATACTCGGGTAAGCATCCTGCTCACTTCCGCTCCCCACATCCTTTTCCGCTATTTATTATTTTTATTTCATCCTTTAATTGACACTTCGGTGTGCGCCTTGCGAGGTCATCTTTGCTTGTACTCGTTAAATTTTGCAACTGAAGAGAAATGTGAATCAACAAGATCAAGTTTATTCATTATTTTCAAGGTTAATGTCAATCAAGGTATATTGGAATTTTTCTGGTTTGAAGTTGTTGAATGAGACGATAAGAGATAGCAAAGTTGACGTCTTTAAAGATACCGCTTTGAGAACAATTGAGGGTGTTGCTCATTTAACCTAGTCTCTAAATGGCGTCGAAAACTGCAGTATATTATTTTAACCACACATATGTTGGAAACAATATATCATTGATGCTCATATGCGTTCAATCTACTTCTTTGGATGAATCTATTTTATGTCATAAATTTGGTTACAAGTAACGATTCATAGTAACAATGACGTTAATGAGCGACAGCCTTTAGATTGCAAGCCCCGCGCTTATTTTTGTTTTTGGAATTGTATCCGTCCATGTTGCTAGGTCGACACACTTTCGGTGGCAGATTGCAAATAGCAGCATCCTTGCATAATTTCGAACAGTTCCGCCACAAGATGAGTACCGGCAATATACCGAGAGACATCCTATCAAGCGAATTGCAGCTAGTCAGGTGAAAAAATAAACTTCAAATTCCCAGCTCATCTTGTGACGATACAAATCTAGAAACAGCTGCCACCGAAGTCGCTCGTCACCCGCTCTCCCGCCCTCCACCTCCATTTTATGTTACGTTGCAGCGTCATTTTTTGATTTAACATTTTTTTTATTTGAATCGCGTGCACGCTTCGTATGCCCGCTTTCGGTGTCGCCACGACACGTGTCGGTGCACGGTCCCGTGCTTCTCACTGTTCTATGTCGTCACTCTCTGTTTAATCTCTCTCTGAAAAAACAAACGTCGTCCCGTCACAACGGCGGCTCCGTTCGTTGGTAGAAAAAATGACGCGAACGTAACTTATGGAACAGTGCCGCGGTGGTTGCAGCCACGAGATGGTAAACTCCCCTGCAACTGCAGCGACAATGGCGTACCCGAGCTTGGAAGAGGAGAGGCGGTCGAGCGGCTACGAGTACGACCACCATCGCCACGTCCTCACCATCGGCCATCTTGAGAAACATACTCGGAGCGGCCATCTCGACGACGCTTCAGAACCCGGCGCGGATATCGCGACCGTACTTAATCGTGATTTTGCGTACAGCTATCGAGCCGTCGCCGAAGCAACCGAGGGTCAGTCATCCTGGGAGCCGTCCGAGTGCCCCTGGAGCTGGGATGCCCACAGGAGCCGCAGACGATCCAGGAAACAGAGTCTGCCCAGAAAGGTGACCTGCATCCAGGATTTCGAGGACGACGAGTTGCCCTCTCTGGACGCGAGCAAGGACGAGAGTCAGGACGTCAGATCCGACAAGACAACCGAGGAGGTGTTGGACGACCTGAGGAAGAGGTATCGATGCAAACCGGACAGGAAAGGAATGCTCAAGTGTCGACTTTGTCCTAACGACGCTCTCGCCAGGGGATCTATCTGTCGACCCTATCATACCAAAGCTTCTCTAGCGCTTCACAAGATATGGAGACACGCCAGACGCAAGAGGTGCCTCAAGAACTGCGTGACCAAGCCTCGTCCCACGTCGCAGGTGTCCTCCATCACATTGAAGGCTACGGTGTTCACCAGCCCCGGTTATGGTTACCATAGATAGCACGCGGCGTTTGCAGCTGCGATGTGGACTCGAGCGGACGGATTTCAAATTGTACCGCTTGTTTCTTGATTCTAGGACTTTGGAGGGACTCCTGTTGCTACCTGATTGTTTTGGAAAGCGTTTCTAAGGTCGAATGTCGCAAGTTTGCAAGTCTTCGAAATTTTGTAAACCTGAAGTGTTAAAAATTTGTCAGATGATGTCTGAAAAAATGTACGAATTCCTATCTTTCAGAGTCCCCATAGTGAGCCTAAAGAAAATGAGTTTTGCGAAGGTAACTGAGATGTGTGCCTTTTGAAATCCACCGTATCGAAAGTATAATCGCATCGTGTCGCGTTTATCCTCTCCAGGATCGATTAGTTAGATGAACAGCGTATCTCTAATTAGAATTGCGGATCGTCGTAGCCAACGACAACGATTTTAAAATAGCAAGATCTCGTCGAAATAGGTGCGAGTCAGACGACGCGGAGTTTTTGCGCTTCTAACGATTGAAGGATGTTAATTATAAGGGACTACGAATAAAATAAAACAGCGAAACCGTAGGATTAAGGAACGACTAATCGAAAGTACCTCGACAAGCGCGAATTTTCATCGCGAACGACCATCTCGATGCTCGTTCGAGCCTCCGACGAGGAACGACTATTTTCCTTTGTATAGATATTGCGCGAATTAACGACATTAACGATCGTCTCCAATCGATGTCTAATTGTGCGTTTGTCCATTGTCCGTCTCTGTAATTACGTAATTGCTTTTCCGTTTCATCGTCGATGGACTTTGCGTGAGAATGCACTCTGTGTGCAGCCAGAACGAGGACCGGAGCGCAACGCGATCCGTGATTGGCCGGGCGAGCATGATTTTTATATAAGGGATATTTGTACAAAACCACTATCTTGTTTACGTTATTACATAAAATATATTATATCTATTGTATTTCAGCAGGGGACGCGAGAAAACGGGTAAAGGTAGGCTCTCGGAGACTCTCCTCTTCGAGAACCTGCGTTTTCCGCCATTTTATTTCGTAACCTTCTATCCTTTCCACTGAAACCAATTTGCTTTCGTACTATTGTTCCTTAGACTTTAATCTAACGTTTCCATTCGGAGAAAATGTTTAGAAATCGTTTTTGTAGGAATGTTTAAGAAAAGATGCACAGGTAAGATCTTGCTCGAGACTTGATGTGTATTTACTTCATTTAATTTATTTTATTTATAATGAAATATATCACAGTCGTAAACAGCATATTTTTAAAAAGGATTTACAGTGAAATCTTGTCTGGTAAAATGTATCTAGTGTTGATATGAGTTGAGAGAGAAACGTGATTCAAGAACTCACCGACAGGCGTCGCCAAAGTCGTCGCAAGGCATCGATTTCTGCCCGCCTCGAATTTCTTTCCTAAGATTCCTCGACAAATGAGAATAAAAAATGATTCATGCAATGTTAATTTTGCTTTGTAACATTGCAGCTTGAACTTAATTTCATTTTAAATTGTATTAAATTGAATTAAACTCGCTTCCATCCAGTTCCTGCCAGCATCAGCAGACGGAGGACTGCCTTAATTTTCATCGCAGCAGCCTGAAATTAAATTCGAACTTTTTAATATTCGCAAAAGGAGGACCGTCGAACGTTGGCCAACAGTTTGAGACGTAGCAAGGAAGACGATGCAAACTTCTTAATTTAATAAACCCCGGGTAAAACCAAAGCTACACGAACTGTAAACTGTTTATGATGTAAGTTGTTAAACCTCGATAACGCTTCCCTTGAGGCATTAGCATCCGTAGCGACTTCGGAAAGGAGTTCCTCGAATCGACGAGCGTATTTATGGCGGAATCTGCTATCGGAAATTAAACACGAGACAAACGAGAGGCATTCGCAAAGATATTCAACGGCGATCAAACGTAATCTGCGGTAACGTAAGACCCTAGGGAACACGCGACGCATTCGAGCTGTCGACGGCAGTCGATAATTGGATGAAACTAGAAACCACTCGGCTGGGCTTTTGCCCTCTTCGTTGTCGAACAATTCTGTCTTCGAATCAACCTGTCAGTTTAAACAAACGATTTCAATCTGTTTGTCCCAGGGAACTCCTCAAACTCTCCAGTATAGAAATTCCGAAATCCTCAAACCTTGGAATAATTTTCAAACTTGACAGTATTGATTTGGGACGTTCAAGCATCGAAATTATTAAATAAAATTTGATTTTTTCGAGGTTAACAATTGCCAAATTCGCAAATCTAGGGATATTTGGGGATCTAGGAGTATTTGGAGATCTAGGGGTATTTGGGGATCTAGAGATATTTGTGAATCTAGGGATATTTGGGGATCTAGGAGTATTTGGAGATTTAGGGGTATTTGGGGATCTAAGGATATTTGAGAATCTAGGGATATTTGGAGTCTACGGATATTTGGGGATTTAGGGATATTTGGGGATGCAGGGATATTTGGGGACCTAGGGATATTAGGATTTAGAGATATTGGGATCTAGGGATATTGGGATTTATAGAAATATTGGGATCTTTAAAAATATTGGGATCTAGGGATGTTGGGATTTTTAGAAATATTGGGATCTAGGGATATTGGGATTTATAGAAATATTGGGATTTAGGGATATTGGGAATTTGAGAAATATTGAAATATAGGGATATTGGAATCTAGGGATCTTGGAATCTAGGGATATTGGGATTTTGAGAAATATTGGGATTTAGGGATATTTGGATCTAGGAATATTGGGATCTGTAGAAATATTGGGATCTAGGGATATTGGGATTTTGAGAAATATTGAAATTTAGGGATATTGGAATATAGGGATCTTGGAATCTGGGGATATTGGGATTTTTAAAAATATTGGGATCTAGGGATATTTGGATCTAGGAATATTGGGATCTGTAGAAATATTGGGGTCTAGGGACATTGGGATTTTGAGAAATATTGAGATCTAGGTATATTTGGATTTATAGAAATATTGTAATCTAGGAATTTTGGGATATAGGAATGTAAAGATATAGAAATTTGGGAATAGAGATTTGGAATTTAGGGTTATGAACATTTATACATTTGGTAATTTATGAGCCTACAAATGTATGGATCTGAAAAGTGAAGTACTTAAAAATTAATAAATTTGCATATTTACAAAATGAACTTGGAAACTTGAAAATTTTGTTAGTCTAAAAATCTTAGTCCCTAATTTTCCCTATGAAGTATTACTATAAACAAAATCATGAATAGCACATATTTCAAAATTTCAATTGGAAAAATGTTGACGATGTAATTCGCGAATGACTATAGTATTGTTTTTAATCACGCATAAAGGTCTCGCAGAAAGGTTTTGATTTCACTTTAGGTTGTTTATCACCGAAGACTGCAATCCGCTCGAATGCAACGTTATTTCGCTGAGTGTTATAGGGAAAAATTGCGATGGACGCAGCGTGGAACGTGCAGAGCCATTATTTTCGAGTTTGAAAACGTGAATTACGAAAAATGCTGAATGTTTCTCGCGAAACGGCAACGACAGTGTTCGTGATTCGTTTTATTCGAACGTACGCATGAATCTAACCACTCTGACGGTTTTATCGCGTCAAAATTTCGGCCGTGCACACATTCGAAAACACTGTTTTTTACATTTTCGACGCTTTCGTGTCTCCCGGTATGAATAATGCATACAAATGTTTGCCTTAACTTTGGCTCCACGGAAAAAGTGTTTCTAAACGAAGTTACCGTTCTTTAAGAGAAAAAACCGCTGGTTCTTCCAGTAATGTTTGCATGCATAAATGTTTCCTACAAAGATTAATCAGCTTGATTACGTAACTATATTCTCGTTACAGAGTTCATCATTTATGAAAGTATTTGTTCGTGGTAGATTAATCTTTTTGAGAAGAGATTCAAAGAATATGATCCATTACGCACTTCGTTGAAAAACGCAAAGGATTTGTTGAAATTTTTAGAAATTTCGTAACAAATGAACGGAATTAAAAAAAATATTTTAAAATAGCACAATCCTTTGTGAATAAAACGAAAAAGAATTTAGCTAAAACGGTTGAGTAGTTTCTGAGAAAAAAATTCATGAGTGGAGCCTGTTTATAAATTAATACAGGGTGTGTCACAACTAGTGTTCTTCTGACTGGTTTTCCTTAAAATTTTTCGTTATTATAAAACAGATGTACAAAGCCACAAAAAATATTTTATAACAGCCCAATCCTTCATGAATAAAACAGAAAAGAATTTAGGTAAATCGGTTGAGTACTTTCTGAGAGAAAAATTCATGAGTGGAGCCTGTTTATAAATTAATACAGGGTGTGTCACAACTAGTGTTCTTCTGACTGGTTTTCCTTAAAATTTTTCGTTATTATAAAACAGATGTACAAAGCCACAACAAATATTTTATAACAGCCCAATCCTTCGTGAATAAAACAGAAAAGAATTTAGCTAAATCGGTTGAGTAGTTTCTGAGAAAAAAATTCGTGAGTGAAGCCTATTTTTGCAATAATGTGCAAAAATTGCAAACTTTGAAGGCTTGTTATTTATTAACAAATTCGAAACCGGCAAAATGATGATTTAAACTCCCCCTAATTTCACATGGACTACATATCTTGATTAGAGCAAAATGATGACGTTCAAAAGTGATCGATGTGGAATGACCCGAATATTAAATCTATAAACGGTATAATATTTCAGTCAGAGATAATTTAATTACGGGTCATGCACGATTTTTGGCTCGAATTATAAAAATTATTCAAGTGTTTTGCAAATGTATTAATCTTTAAAGAGGCGATCGGATGTGAATTTGTTAAAATTCGTATTCGTCCATTTTTGCAGCGTACAATTTATGATACGTCGGCTTCATGAATTATTCAATTTATTTATCCTGAACATCTCCCAACGTGAAAATCGATTTCCCATTAAATTCGTGTACACCGACTTATCTCCAGTTTCAGACGGTTGATTATAAACAATATCTTCCGTTTCTGTGAAACGAAAGCTTAGTACTGATGTATTCTGATAGCACCGATTATTGCGACGCGAAAAGCCGTGCAGAGGAAGCGGGAACGCGATTTACAACCGGAAGCGCGCGATCCAGTGTAAATTCTCTTCCAGCGGATCAACCTCGGTGCCGGCCAAACGTCGAAGTGAAACAGGTTAGAAGAAACAGAATGAAAATTGAAAATAATAAAAAAAAAAAAGGGGGAGAGCATCCACGGGGACAAGAAATAACAGCGTCACACGAATGCCTGCTCGATCGCGTGTTAGCGTTCACGCGGATTATTTTAACGCCACGTTGCTCGCGACCGATCGCGTAGCATGTATCGATCGTTGGTTCCGTGACCGTAATTAATTCCTTTAATCGTTTTGTTTCGTTGCCGTTTAATCGATTGTAAAGCGATTTCCTTGCTGGCTGAATAAAGTTTTGTTTTCAATCGATTCTGTGCTACGGAAATTGACGATCGATTGGCGTCTTATTCTTCTTTAACACGGTTGAAAACTGGTGAGATTCGATGTTCAGGAAGATTCGACGCACCGTATGCGTCATGTTCACTGTAGGTAACGAACGACGCACCACATGCGTCACGTCCACTGCAGATAACGAAAGACGCACCACATGCGTCACGTTCACTGTAGGTAACGAACGACGCACCTTGTGCGTCACGTTCACTGCAGATAACGAACGACACACCATATGCGTCACGTTCACTGCAAGTAACGAACGACGCACCATATGCGTCACATTCATTATAGGTAAGGAATGACGCACCTTGTGCGTCCTACTCATATGTTGGATAAAATGACGCACCTTATGCGTCTTATTAATTTACAGTAGAAACTGACGCACCGTATGCGTCATAGTCATATGTCACAGAAAATGACGCACCTTATGTGTCTTATTAATTTTTAGTAGAGTCTGACGCACCATATGCGGCGTAGTCATATGTTGTAGGAAATG